AATAACTTTACCTTATGATATAAAACTCAAAGAAATTTGCTAAAACCCATGCAAACTTTACGAAACTATTGTGAAAAACCGTAAAAAAAACAGCCATACCCGGAAGGTCCGGAAGGTTGGAGGGCCAGGGTCCTCTGGGCGCGCCTCATCACCCTCTTGGGCGTCCTCGACACGCCCGGTGACCGGGAAGCCCGGGGCTGCACGCACGAAGACCTTGTGGCCTCCCTGGAGGAGTCGTACTCCGAGGTTCACCTGGTGTTCTTCACGGAGTCGCGGCGCGCCCTCGCGTTCGCCTCCGGGGTCGGGCCCCCGGAGCTCACCCGCAGGCCCGAGGCCGCAAAGAAGCTACTCGAGGAAGGAGATCATGAGGGGGCCCTCCATGCGGCCCTGGGACCCGGGGCGGTCCCGGTGCAGCGACGGGCGGAGGGGGGCCTCGACCCCGCGCGGGAAGCGGAAGAGCCTCCCCCGGAGGAGCCACCCCCGGCACCCGCAGACCTCGGGAGCACGCCGGTCGTCCCCGGCCCTGCTGGACCGGCGCAAGGAGAAGCCCAGGACGATTCGGGGGAGTCGGGCGGGAGCGCAAGAGGAGCGTACGAGGAGGACCCCGACGAGGACCCTTACGACTGGGTGGCCAGCTGGATCCCGGAAGGGATGGCGGCGGACTGGGTGCGCACCCCCATGCTGCCGACGGGCGGCTACACTATCGGGGCGCCCATCCCCGCAAGCTGGGTGGAGCTGTGGAAGCCCGAGGTCCTGCAGGAGATAGGCCACTTCCCCCCGGAGCTGGCGGCATGGCTGGACTCCACCATTCGGGTCGGGGGGGATGGATGGACCCAGTTGGATGGGTGCCCGCGGAGCCTGGACACCCACCGCACCCTCCCGCTCCGCTTGGAGGAGGGAGGCGCGGAGACGGTCTACTACCACCCGAAGCACATGCTGCTGTTCTTCGTGGAGGCGCGGGAGGTCTACAGGCTGATGCACCTGGTCCAGGGCCCAGTCCCCCAGCACCTCAGGGCGCACCGGGATGAGCAAAACCTCCGAACGGTACGCCTCCCCCCCCCGCCGCTTCGGAAGACCGCGGAGCCCGTCGCCGGCGGGGAGGCGGACGGGGCCGCGGGAGGGCGCCCCGCTGGCGCGGAGAGCGGGGGCGGGAGACCCCTCCCGGCTCAGGGCGCGGAGCCGCCTCAGGACGCACCCGCTGAGGAGGGGCGGGGAGGCGGGGGCGCGGAGCCAGGAGGGGGGGCGGACCAGAAGGGCGAGGCCGACCTTGTCGGGGCCGCCAGCCCGGCTCAGGGCGCGGCGGAGGACGGGTCTAGGCTGGAGGGGCCGGCCGAGTCACCCGAGCCCCCGGAGGGCGCCCAGCCCAGGCACCCGCGCTTCCAGCTGCCGGAGGAAGGGCCCCCGGGGGCCCGAGCCGGCACCCCCGGCCGAGGGCCAGGGGCCCCAGGAAGCGGAGCCGGCGGCGCCGGCCGAGGACACCTTCGAGACCCGGGAGCTATTCTGGTCGGACGCGTGGCTACAAGCCCCGAGGGGTGGCGGCTTCCGCAACGTCCTGCAGGTCCTGGTGGAGATCCTCGTCGACGAGCAGAGGGCGGGGGCCCCCTCCCCCCCCGGTGGAGAGCGCCTGTTCCACCTGGGGGACTTCAGCCGCGGGGCCCAGGCGGGACTGGGCCAGACCAACGGGCGGATCGCGGAGGAGTACCTGAAGGACACGTTCGGGGAAGGCGTTCAGACCAATACCAACCCGTCCACCGGGAGGGAGTACAGGATCCCCAAGGTCATGGAGAAGTTGCAGGAGACGAGGGAGGCAGCCCTGCTGAGGAGCCTGGAAGTGACCCGGCCGGAGGCAGAAGCCCCGAGACCAGCCCGGGGCGGGCTGCCCCGTTCCCCCCGCGAGGCTGGGGAGACCGACGCACGGGGCAAGGGGGGGGCCCCTGCCAGCCGTGCGCGGGAGGCGACCCCGGAGCCCCTGGCGGGGGCGATACTGCAGCTGGAGGAGACGGACTGAGCCGGACCCGGCCTTCCCATAGGCTCGCGAATGACCATTATATTCACGCATGCGTGATTATAATCACGCATGCGTGATATGGTCATGGCAAAAGGGTTGATTGGCTAGTGGAAATCGTTGAATCAGTCAATTTCGTCATGGAACCAACCCATTTAGTGGAAAACCTTGCCTTGTTATTTCACGCCCCTGTCATTTTTCAGGAAATGACGCGGACATGCCAATATTATTTGGGAGCTTGTGTTACTTCGTAAAATACAAAGCCCCTCCTCTTCCTTTTCCTCCTCTTCCCTCTCCTCCTCCTCCTCCTCCTCCTCCTTCTCCTCCCTCCTCCTCTCCCTCCCCTCGTCTCTTGCTCTGTCCACTCTGCTCTTCATCTTCCTTGCGCTGCTCGTCTGGCCTTGTGCATCTTGGAATTTGGAGCCGACCGCCCGCGCGGGGCATGAGTATGCTTGTGAAAGGGCTGTCATGTATGCGAATACCGCCCCAACCACCACATCCACCATCATCGTCATCGTCATCCATAGCCGTTTTGGCCCCAGCCTATCATCATGGCTCCGAGAAAGGAGTACCGAAAAGCCGTGGACATACCTTACGCTGTAGCAGAGAATGCGTTCTCGTGTTTGCCTCCCCTCGCTCGCAGCAAAGAGAACTACCAGACGTTGTACACAAACAAATCATTCAAGAATGCGCCTTCCTGGTCCGCTGGTTGCAAACTCATTAACAGCTTGAAGGCATTGCTCGACGGGAGTGGGGGGTGCGGTATACACCAGAAAAGTTTGTCAGAACACATGAACACGTGGGTGAACAATCAAGGTCTGGATTGGACCGACGACATGAAAGAGAGAGCCTGTTTCAATTTGCGATGCTTGTTGTCCCAACTGTTGAACCACAAGTCAAATTCAAGGTCAGTTCCATCCAGTTGGCAGCAGAAGTATTCAGTTCTCTGGGATAAGTTATCAGGTCAGCCACAAGCATCGCCTACGCGAGTTGCTCAGCATGCCTCTGGGGCGGCCTCCAGCGATGTGGAAGTAACGGGGGAAGGCGACAATAAAGCAAACACTGAGGTGGTCGATGTTTCTGAATGCGAATCCTCGTCGAGCATCGTCGACAAGTCGGCGCTGTTCAGCAGCGCTGATCCAGCTTTGGACTCAATCCTGAAGGCAGGCGGCACCGCGCCTGAAGCTAAGATCTCATCGACCCAGCCTTCTGTGGATACGACTGGGCGCGCTGAGGTGGCACCAAAAGATGTTGAGCGACTTTCTTCATCGGGGGCGGGGGCCGTCACGTCGCGGCAGTTTGCGCAGTTGAATTCCAAGCTCAAGGAGGATCAGCGGTCGAAGTCAACTAAGAGAATCGGTAAGAAGATCAAGCCTGAGAAGGTTCGTAGGAAGCCAGCAAAAGCTCCAGGGAATGCAACGATCATGAGACGACCTGCTAGTGCTGACACGCTGTGCCAAGCGTATCTCAAGCGCGAGCACTCCAAAGCTTTCCATGCAGCCAGGGTGACTGCGATGAGCAACGGGAAGACACCCGATGAGGTTAGGGAAGCGAGCTCCGAGGCAGGCAAGGCTTGTTTAGAGGAGATCCGCGAACTGTTTAAAGCGAAGCGCATCGATAGGGTAGGACAGCCGCTCGAGGGGGGCGACTAGTAATGCGTCGCGTTGGCACTCTTGGGCACCTTGGTTCGACGCACTAGCGAATGCATTGGGCCCCCCAGCGGGCCCCTAGAAGCCCCTACGGACCCCATGAGGTCCAGTACGGCCTCCTACGGATCAAACCCCCGCAACCCACCTCAATCCCCTCCCCCCCCCCAAAAAAAAAAAAGAGAGGTGAAACGATATGCAGCCCCGTGCATGCCGCGTACGAGAACAGAAGAGTGCCCCTCGCTCGGTTTAGATCTCTCGTCAATTGCCATGCGTTGGTAGTTGTCGCCGTCTGCGCGGCGAGAGGCCTCGCGTTGCTGAAGCTCTGAAGGCTCCACGGCAGAAAAACAGCTCACAAAGCATCGCACTCATCATCATCGCATTCGCGTCTCCTCCTCCGTTAGCGTTCTCCCCCATGCTCCTCACCCACTCCTCCCCATCTTCGCCCTCATCACTATCCCGTTCTCCTCTGGTTGGTTTACATGTCTGCGGGCCGTGTCAAAGAAAGAGAGAGGATGAATGGCGACAAGCATGCGAACCGTTCCCTCCCGCCAATCGTCGTTTAGCACGATGTTGTCCCGTGGAGTTGGCGAGGCGTCCAGCCAGAGATGCGACGTTCGACCTCTAGTTCGTAACATGTGATACCTACGAGCCCTGTGCGCAGCGCCTCTCCAACCCTACCAGATGGCTTGACAACAAGAACAGTGACAACACATTGGGCCAACACGTCAACTAACAGTTCTAATCGATTGCGATCAAATCTGATGCTGGATAAGAGTGAGGGGTGTTATGTATGCACATGGACATATAAGTGTGCGTCTCAGGTCACTCTGGAACTTCGGAACGTCAGGCAGGTTCGTTGGTTTCGAAACCCTCTGGCTATTCGTTTCAAGTTCTAGGATTTTCTATGGTGGGCCCCACGGATAGCGAGCTGTCTTCCCTCAGGCGTGACGCGATGATCACAACCGTTGTTACCGTCACCACCACGCAACCAACTACTGTAATCATTGCCGCCGCCGTCTTCATCCTGGTGTACATTGGCGTCTTCTCGACCAAGCGAAGGAGAAAGATGGAGGGAGGGGAGGAGGAGAAGGAGGATCAGATGCGGAGGGAGGAGAGGGGGGGAGGAGCGGTGGAGGGAGGGAGGGGGGGCGGAGGAGGAGAAAGAGGAGGAGAGGATGACCACCTCCTGCCAATCGCAATGACCACATACGAAGTAGGAAGAGGAAGAGAAATTGTCACATTCACTGCCACTACCATGGCAATCAAAGATGGCCCCTCCCGTGCCCCGAACAAACGCTGGCTTTGAAAACGAGTGCGCCGCCTCTGTCCGTAGCCAGTTTGGCTCAAGCAAGTCCTGCGCTCTCGATCTGTGAATCGCGATCCCGACATCATCCCTGATGGCAGGTTCCCCACTGAGCTCCACTGAAAGGGCCAAGGTTGAGATTAACAAGATGAGCGTCGTGGTGACTGCAATGCAACAGAAACTCCCGAACCACCGCTACGTGGACTCGCTGTGCCAAGACATCTGCGACGTGCTTCTGGAGTGCGCGAAGCTGGACTCCCTGCTGCTAGCAAACCCAGACCCCATCGGCAATGACAAGATGATATTGCAGATCAGGTTTGACAACCTTTGCAAGTTGTTCGAGGAGGTCAAGACGCGCTGCGACCAGGTTGTCCAACCTAACCCGACAAAGGTGCCAAAACGCTCCCCGTCGTCACCCCTGAGCCCTGTGCCCGAGCCATCGCAGCCAGGAGCGCCGATCGAGACTGCCGAGGAGCCGACGGAGAACCAGAACGGCAACGAAGCCAGCCAGCTCTGCGACAGCCAGTTGGAGAGCCAGTTCTGCGACAGCCAGTTCGAGGACAGCCTCCCTTGAGGGGTTCTGTGAATGACCCGTGCAACTCAACGTCTGATTTTATCTGAACGAGTTTGAAAGCACGACCGTCTTAAGTCGACGCCGCCGTCACTGCTGATTGGGTCACGGGATCCATCGGCGAGCGATCTGGACAGTCGGCTCGACAGAGACCTAGAGCGCCCCCACTTCAGAAAACACCAGAGCCTATCGTCATCGCCGTCGTCGTCGTCATCAGCGTCGTCATCGTCTTGTTGCCGAGGAGGCACTTCTCAACCCCCTTGCCCATGTTTGCTCAACGGCGTAGGCGCGACCGAGTTCTGCTAGGTGTGGCCGCGCCTGCGGGGGCGAACACGGGCGCGGGGGATTAGAAAAGCCCCCTCCCCGATCCGACGCCTCGAGGTCGACTTCGAGAGCAGATCTGGAGGGTGAGAGCGAGCAGGAGGAGGAGACTAGAAAGAACAGACAACTCTTGGGCGCCTGAGCTCCGTGGAGGAGGAGAAGGAGGAGGAGAAGGAGGAAGAGGAGGTGGAGGGATCCAGAGGCCCCCAGAAGGTGAAAGAGAAGTAGGAGGATCAGGAGATGGAGGAAGCGGGATGTTACTTCCGTGGGCCGCTGGAGTAACGTCGACCTCCTCCTCCTCCTCCTCCTCCTCCTCTTCCTCCTCCTCCTCTCCTCTTACTCCTCCTCCTCCTCCTCCTCCCCCTCCTCCTCCTCATCATCATCCTCCTCCTCCTCCTCCTCCCCCTCCTCCCCCCCCTCTCCTCCTCTTCACCCCCCTCCTCCTGATCCATCCCTCTTCCTCTTGGTCCTCTCCATGTTCTCCTCTTCCTTGTCATCCTTCCCCTTCTCCTCTTCCTTGTCCTCTCCTTCCTCCCCCTACTACTCTCCCTTGCATCCCTCCTCCTCCCCCTCCTCCTCCTCCTGGTCCTCCTCCTCCGCTCCCCTATCTCCTCCCCCTCACCGTTCTGAGCCGAGCTCGGGCCCCAAACTATCCGAAGCCCCAAAAATCAGAATTTTCCGGAATTCTCCGGAATCTGGGAAAGTTCTGGGAAATCAGCAACTTGTCTTGAAACAAGACAAGCCGATGATTTACCAGAATTTCTCCGGAATCTGGGAAATTCTGGAAAATTCTGCTACGCGAAATTGTTGAGGTCTTCGGATCCTTTTCCGTAGCCACGTCGGCTCAAGCAGCGGTCGGGCCCCGCCAGTTTCTTTCAACAACATGCCCCCCAAGGGCAAGTCCAAGGCCAAGGCCAAATCAAAGGCCGAGGCTGATCCGCTGCAGATGCCGCAGGTGAGCGAGGCCGAGGTAGAGGAGGCCAAGCGCCTGCTACAGGATGCGGATGATAGGCGCAGGGCGAACAGCAACATGCTCTACTGGCTGAAGTGCAACGAAAAGAGGGACGGGTACGACGCAAAGAACGGGAAGGACAAGAAAGAGTTTTTCTTGCGCTGGGTCGCGTGGTCCACCAAGGAGAAGAAGTCCAAGAGCTCGTCTTCTCGCACCGTCACCAACGAGAAGCAGTCCAAGGACGTCGGCAAGTGGGTATCGAAGCATTCTTTGATACAGCAGCTCGGCGACGACAAAGCTTTGAAGAAGATCGCCGTCCTCAACAAGATCCCTTCGAGGCACAGGCCCGACAGGGACACGAATTGCGACGACGAGTGGAGTCGCGAGTACAAGGTCTACGATGACGAGGACGCGGAGGTGAACACAGACACCATCACACATTCAGTCACGGCCGAGAAGGAGCTGGAGAGCGCGCAGGAGAGGACTGAGGCATTGGGGGACCTCGCAGCGGCGGGCCTTCGTGGAGACCAGCCACAGGGCATGGGTGAAGCTTCAGCCAGCGCTGCCGCGGTCACGGCCCCCGTCAAGATTGAAGGCCAGGGGGCTAACGAAGATCTCAAGACGTTCTACTCGATCAAGAACAAGCCGAAGCTAGTGTTGAAAGCGTTCAGCGAAACGATCACCGAGACGAAGAAGATGTGCGCGATTGCAGGCGAGCCCACGCAGGCGAAATACCTCGGGCCTCTCAAGGAAGACCTCGAGAAATTGATCCCGAAGCTGAGGACCGTATTCGATCAAGTGGAAGCCGTGCACCTGGCCGAGGGTACCGATAAGGCCATGGGTGACCCCCACGTCCTCGCGATCGCTCGCAACCTCGACGCACTCTACGTGGAGTTCAACGAACTGAGCGAGTGGCTCCAGCGCATGGTTCCCAAGAAGGCTCGCAAAGAGAAGGCTGGTGGCAAGCAGTAGGTTCGGCGTGCGATGATGCTCTGACTCAGTTTTCGATCGGCCAGTCAGCAATCCTGAGCAGATCGCGCGCGCGGCATCGGTCGCACTTCAAGTGTCGTAGTTGCTCGAGCTACGTTTTGTCATGCAGGCCTCTCGTCTCCGAGAGGTGAGTTCGCATCTGGCCCAGCATCGGGCCGCCGCTCTTTCAGGTAGACCTGAGCACAAGGGGAGTTGCGCTCGGACAGAGGCGGTCGTGACGCCTCACGCTCTCGAAAAAAAGAGTGGCCCAACAAAGACTCCAAACAAAGTCCTAGGTGCCCCTGCGGACCTCTACCTCCCACATGTGGCTCCCAAACTTCTACGGACCTCCAGGATCCCCATGCGGCCCCAAAGAGCCCCAACGACGAACTAGGACAAATACTCCTTGCAAATTCCTACAACCGCTAACGGAGTTCCACGGGACCCTACTGTCCACTAAGACAAAGATCCCCTAAGGATCGATCCCGAGAGAACCCAACGGGCCCCGAGAGACCCTTACTTGTACGACCCCCAACGGGGCCTACGGAGACCTATATGCAGCCCCTCCAAACATTGTTTCCTACGGTGAGCTTCGCGCGTAAATTCAGAGGAAGCCTCAGGCGGGAGTGCCGCCACCCCACAAATAGATCCCCCCCACCACCACCACCGCCACCACCACCACCGCCGTCTCATCATCCTCCTCCATCCCTCCTGCACCGCAGCCGTTTTGGCGTCATAGAGCTTTGCTCCATTCGCACAATGAAGCTATGCAGTGTACGTCCCCCTGCACTTGTAATTGCTATCGTTTGCTTCTGCTCAGTTGCGTTCTGCATGCGAGGTGGTGTTAGGAAGCGGTTGCTCGCTGAAGATCGGCAGTCTGAGAGACAAGCAGATGTTACTGTGAGAGGTGGCGGCGTTCGGCAACGCCTCAGGGTCGCTCCGCTAGCTGCCCCGACTCCGAAGGCAGGCGTCGACACAACAGACAAACCGTTGAATCAACTTTTGATGAAGCGGTAGTGCCAGGGTAAAATTACGTGCAAGGATGTGCTTGAATTTGCGGTGGCTGCTCAATCCCAAGGGTGTCCAGATATCGAGACGCTGGCAATCCGTGACATCAACAACGCAGCTCGGAATTTGATGAATGCAATCGGCTATCCCGAAAAGGCACCACCAATCAAATTCATCGAAATACCAACGGAAGTGGTCGGCAAGAAGCGCGAGCTACCCATTATCTGTCCGATAGATACGTTGGAGAGCTTGATTGCTAAGAACCCAGGACGGTTTGAAAAAAAAACAGCCAAAGGCCCAGATAATGATATCACTTCTTTTTGGTATGGCATGAGAGGGACCCCAACGTATGAGCGGAATAAGCGCTTCATCGGCATCGAGCGCACGATGGCTGTGAAACTTCATGCGGATGGGGCTCCGACAACAAAGGTGGATGGGTTGATGACAATATCTTGGTCAACTATGCATGGTAGTGGCGCGACAAAGGAAACTCGCTATGTGTTTACCACGGTCCCAAAATCATGGATGCATTCGAAAGCTGTCTTGGATGTAGTATTCACTCGCCTCGCCTGGGCGTTCAATGCTTTGTGTGATGGTAAGCTGCCAATGACCGACTGGCAGGGGGCAAGCATGGCAGGTGGGCGAACTCTGGCGCAAGGCTGGCGCCTCGCAGTGATTTTCTGCGGCGGCGATTGGGAGTTCTATTCATCACATTGCGGTTTTCCAACGGGGCAATCGGTTCCGAATAATTGCTGGATGTGTCGTGCGAGTCCTTTGGAAGGGCCTTTGAACTGCTATCATGTTTGTGCTGATGCTGGTTGGAGGGCCACGCTCAAGTCTCACGAATCATATCTTAGAGAATGTGTTGATCGCAATGTACCCCCATGCACTCTGATGAAGATCAATACGCTTCAGCTCGAAGGGTTCCTGCCTGACGCCATGCACGGCATGGACGAAGGCTTCACGAGCCATGTAGCTGGGAATATCATGTTCGAAATCATGGAAGAAGCTGGCTGGGGTCCAAATCAGCGCACTCGAGCGTCCCGTTTGAATGACGATTTGAAGCAGTATCACAAAGCTTCCAAAGAAACAGTGAGAGTCGACGGGAAGCTGACTTATGAGAGAGTGCGGGCAGCTGGGGATTGGCCTCTTCTCAAGGCCAAGGCCGCTGCAACAAGACACGTAGTCCCTTACATCACGCAACTGGCCTCGAGATTCAATTCGGGAAGTGATCACGATGTCCGAAGACTCATTGTCTGCAATTGCTTGAACGACGCGTATAACACAATGAAGAAGGCTGATCGTTTCTTAACTCAGGGCCAAAAGGACCATTTGAGACACATCAGTGTTACTATGCTGGGTTGTTATCGGAACTTGAGTCTCGAGGCGTTGGAAAGCAACACCAGGAAATGGAAGATGGTCCCCAAACATCACGAGACGCAGCACATTCTTGAATATTTGGCTTGCGTTATCAACCCTATGCACGTTTGGCTATACGCCGATGAGGACCTCCAGCGCCTCATCAAAACAATAGCAGTTCAGTGTCACCCTGCCGCAGTGCCCTACATGTGTTTGTTTAGGTGGGTTGTGCAGACATTCGGAGAATTCGAGTGAAGCCATCGGTGCCCCGTGGGATGAACAAGTATTTGCTCCGTCACTCCAGCCAGAAATACTATTATACATCAGCTTTCGCTGTGTTCCGCCTGCAGAGTGCAATCAGCTTTGAGAGCGAATGGCGACTAGGAGGAGAAGGAGGAGACTGAGAAGGAGGAGGAGGAGGAGGAG